GCGTGTTTAGAGGCGACGCTATGACGCATGCGTGTAGAAAAAAATATGCGGTTAGAGCGTAAAGATGGAAACGCGAAAACGGCGTTTCGAAATCTTCCCACTCTGAAGGCTGAATAAAAAAAAGATGGTTTACAGACCCCCGAAACGCCGGCTTCGTGTGGATGAGAGGCTGGTTTGGTGAAAAATTTGTGCGTTAAGGCCAGGGTTCGTCTTCGTGTGGACGGGGCCTAGATCAGGATCCTAAAGAGAAACTCTGGTCACACTTTATTTCCTGGATGCTCCCTCTCCATCTGAGGTTAAGCTATTTCTCATAGATAATGTTAGATAACCTTTATCTCTAAATGAGTAAAGGTGGCACAGATCTTCCATCTGTAGTTGCAGCAAAGGACGTTTATCAGAGTAATGCCTCTAAGATCCCAAACACCAAGAAGCCCTTCAGACGTTTATCTATAGGAATAAGAGTAAAACCGTACAAGCTTTTAGTTGCACTCCCTGACGCTGCGCTTCTCTGTGAAGATCTATCTGATTAAATGTCAGTTTATTTTAATGTGATGGAAAAAATGTGGGAAAACTGAAGATGCCATATCTCTTAGTGGTTGGAGCATTGTGCTGGGAATCCTGAGGTTCTGAGTTCGAGCCCCACTAAAATGGTGGTATCAGTATCGGCGAGTACCAACCAATAGGGCACCGATACCATTCTGAGAGCCAAAAGTTTATTCAACTATTGTCACCGATTCCAGGTAGGCAATAAAAAGTTCTACTGGATTCTCTTTGTTTTAGTCTGTTTCCTGCTTCACTAAGGTAGGCAGCAGCTTGACATGAAGCCATGATGGTGATTATTTTACATCCAAGTAGAATGCAGTTCTTCATATAAACACACACATCAATTTCAAACGGATGGTATCAGAATGGGGCAGTACTGCACAGCCAGGTATCAGGGCCAAAAAATGGCATCGGAGCAACACTAGTTAAGAGAAGCATATCTTTAACATTTTTAACTTGAATATTCTGTAGGTCTATATATATATATATATATATATATATATATATATATATATATATATATATATATATATATATATATATATATATATATATATTTTATTTTTTTTCTGATTCTTTAGATTTTTCCGACATGCTGGTCAGGAGGAGCCAAAGCTGCCCCCGGTGGTTGAACCCCCCCGCCGCCACACCCAGCCAGCCCGCTCCCCGGAGGAGCCCCGTGCAGGGGGGGGGTCAGTCCGTGAGCAGCAGGTAGGGACCCCGCAGTAGCTGCTAGCAGCAGCAGGCTGTCCCACGGCTAACTAACCTCCACGCCCCGCGTGAACTCAGCCGCCTTTCAATCACACGCTGAAGATGAACGAAAAGAAAACGAATAAAAATGAGCAAAGCTCAGTCCGAGGCTCCCCCCGCGGCTGTTCCTACGCCTCCATATTAGCATGTCACCGCTAACTAGCTTCACTCACTAGCCTGTGAGGAAGAGGGGCGCATGATTTACTGCTGGCATCACACCAACCCATCTCTGCACGCAGCGCGATGCTTTCTATCCACCTGGTCTGAGTAGAGACGCGATTAAAGGGAAGCATTTAACATCTTTGCATCTAGCTACAGATACAAACTGTTTTAACCACAAACAGGATCCATCCCGTCATAAAGCGCATCGTTTCTACCAGCCCTCCATCAGGGATTCACGCTGATTAACTGCTAGAAAAAGGAGCATCCTGGGTGTAAAAACAAACACACCCAAAAGTACCCGCGGGGATTGTGTTAGCTAGCTAACACGACGTTGTTTGGGGGGGGATTACCGAACGATGCAGCTCACGATCATTAACCCCCCCGGGGAAGCGTTTGTGCTGCAGCTCACCGTAAAGCGCCCTTTCCCGCTGTCTCGGTGGGATGATATTCCATCAGAGGACGGCGCTCCGATGCCCGGAATAAACCACAGCGCTCCGCAGCACAACAGTGCGCCCCGCAACAGCTGTGCTCTGTTTTGAATGAGGACTGAGGAGGCGCACGGAGGACGGGCGGAGCTTCCAGGGTGCAAACTGGGGCAGGCTGCCCGTCATCCTCAGCAGACCGCCTTTACTATCTTTAAGTACACTGGTCTTTTGTCGGCGTCATTGTTGACTCGTACAGTGGCGGTTCGACAGATAGTATCAACGTTTCTCTTTGTCTATTGTTGCAGGCGGGATGTAACAAAACAGAAAGCTTCCAGTTAGATTTGAAATTAAAGTTCAATTGTTTGGTTCTGCTTCCATCTAGTGGTTAGATGCGGTATATCAATTCGAAAACACAATGACCCTTTATAGGGCACCCATTGAAATAATTTGAAAACATAAAAAATGTTATATTTTGATGTCAAAAATGAATGTCAGTGTAATAGCAAGAAACAAGAACTTTCCCAAATACATTAAGAAAAATAACAAAACACTGACAGTAAAATAAACACGTTTTTTTTTTGGTACAATATAACCTTAAAAGGCACTAGTGCTGATACTGGAACTTACATTTTTTAGTTTATAAACCTAAATATAATTATTAACTAGGCTTATTAACTTTTCAATTAGCTATTTACTTTCTTCATCTTAATTTACAGTTCATAATATATCATCAAGGGCTCCTCTAATTGGTCAAATACCAAAATAATATGTACAGCCATGTAGCAGGATCTTTATTGAATGGCTGAATATAGATCTTATGCTTCTAGACCTCACTAAGGGATGGGGGGGACTCCATTTGATCAAAAACTGTAATTTTCCCCATAAAGGGTTAAGGTAAATGAAGGGTTTTAACTTTTATAGTGGTTTCCAGGTCTTACAGCAACTCTTAATAGGTTTCAAAGACACTGTTCTATGACATTCCATTGAAGACGATGTGTCTATAATGATGTTCATTTTATGAAGAATTGATGTTAACAGAATCATTTCTTGAGGTTCTAGAGGAGTTCCCAGAAGAGAACAAGCCCTCTTTATTAGTTCGTAAAGCTTAAAACAAAAATTCTACATGTGAATCAGAATATCACAGTATTTTAAACAAGCAAAATAATAACAGATCAGAACCATAGGGATGTATTTTCAATAATTCCCTTTGTTGGTTTTGATAATAGCATGTATCTCTCTTATAAAGCTATGATGCCATTATCATAAGACCATTTTTGAAAGGATTTTGAGCACAGAGATGATGCACAGAAGAGTACTTCCATGTATGCACTTAATTTTTTTGCTACTGGTTCAATAACAGTCAAGCATGACAGTGGAAGCATTATGCTGAGGTCTTTTAGGCTAGTGATTCGCTGAAATGAATGAAGAGGTACAGACTCTTCCACTCTAAATCAGTAAGTAGATCAATAAAGGGCAGTCGGGCGTTCCTGCATGATAATAATCCCAAACATACATCAGAAATGGTTTGCCTGATAAAGCAAAGTCAACTTTAGTTTTCAGAAATATAAAGAATTGCTTTAATTCCAATAAAACAGTTAAGAATGTTTAAAATCAGAGCCAACTGATCTCAACAAAGAGCCAAAAAAGCGGTTCTCTGCCCACCCAGCCACAAGTATCCCTGACGTGATGATGCAACCCGGTTGTCTTTGAACCAAGCTGTGCATCTGTAGTTCATCATTTAAAGATTTAAATGACAGAAAAAGTTAAACTAAATTCAGACACTTGTATTGATCCTGGTTACTGTGCCCACATTTCTCTCAGGAAACAGTTTAAAAACATTGATGATGTCTTCCTGATCTAATCTCATCTGTACATCTTTACGGACCAAATATTGAAGAAGTAAAAGAAAAACAAAATGCACAACTTTTAATCAATTTATTGTTTTGAAAATGACTATTTTGTATATCGTACAAATGTACACAGTTCTGACAATTTTACATCTACAGACTGTAATGAAAGAGATGCATTCAAAGACACATTATTACCACCTCTTACATCTGATGATCCAGCTATTCTCCAAGCAGACAGCTTGGAGGAAAACATTTGTGGATAAACAGAAATAAAAATAGAATTTCATGGGAACGTGTTAAATCACTCCCCAAATTTCAGCTGCCTTTCTTTTTCTAAACCGTGCAGCTCCTTGGCTCGATTCTTAAGCTCATCTGCCTTCTTCTCGTCCTTCTCTGTTCCGTCCCCGAGCCTGCACATCCGGCTGGCGTTGGCGCACCCCCACACGTGTCCCAGCTCACAGGCCCTGCTGGCGAACTTAAAGGCTTGACTCATGTTGGGTGCCAGCCCCTTGGAGTTGCCCTCGATGAACAGGGCGCTGAGGTTGAAGCAGGACGGAGCGAAGCCGCCGGCGCAGGCCTTTTCGTAGTACTCCCGAGCCACGGCGACGTCAGGGCCCCCCTCCAGAGCTCGCCCGTCGTGGGCTAACAGACCAACGTTATGGCAGGCGTCGATGGACTTCTTTCCTCCGGCTTTGCAGGAGCGCATGAAGCAGGTGTAGGCTGTTTTTAGACACTCTGTCACTCCGCCTGGTGAACACATTCAGGATAAAACCAGACTTTATTAGAGATCCAATATAAAGCTAAAACAATCCATCCAATGAACTGTAATCAATTACTGAAAAACTCATCAATTAATTTAGTAAAATAAGTGATTCGTTTACTACTTGGGAATCATTTTAGCTCCACTAGATTTAAATTCTGTAGTGAAAAATGATTAAACTTGTAAGAACCTCGTTACTGATATGAACTTTGTCATTAAATTACAACATTGTAAGCAAATAATTTAACATTTTTAACATGTTTTCATAATTCATGTTCAAGTTCCTAGAATTATTTTAACTGAAGAAATTTATTTAACCAAGTAATTTTTTTTAGATTATTCAAAATACATAATCACTAGACTAATCAATTACTTAAAAGTCTGAGACTGAATACTAATTATCAGCTTAAAGGCACACTATGCAACATTTTTCAGTTAATTAATGTGTTCCATAACGTTTTGGATGATTAAATGAGTCATTTCAGGTTGAACAAAGGTATTCTCGGCCGCCCTGGTGGTCTGTGGGGGAAATACCGCACTTGCAACTGCAGGAGCACCGACCCGCACCCACAGGCTCAGAAGTCTCGCGAGAGTCGGTCTTGCTTTACGGCGAGAACTGCTACACGCCCCAGTTAAAAGCATTCTCGTTGCTAGCACAGTGGCGATCTTTGTGCAGCGCTGCTTTCACACCGGACGCAGCAAAAGCAGCAAAATCGCATCTGCTGCTTCCTTTTTGCTGCTTGTACCAGTTAGTTCTGACGCGCGGTTGAAGCAGCTTTGCTGCTCTGGCTGCGCGGTGCAAAAGTGTGTCTGAGGCGTGTTGGGCGGAGCTTCACTATCCTTTCTCTGCCTTGCAGCTATATTTGCTGTGATCAGTGGGAATAAAGTAGTTTTAATATGTTTTTAAGTGAGAAAATACACCTGAAAACGTAATCAGTGCAGTGAGTTCATTCAGATTATCATCCTGCCTTCAATATTTTTTCTGTCGGAGCCGCTCAGACCCCCACATACCAGCGGTGCGCCGACAGTAGGAATCCCTTCATCAGCAGCCTCTGGCCGGGTCGCCTCCTCGCGGTTCACCGCGGCAGCTGGTAGGTGTTTTTCATCTAAATAATCCAAACTGCATATTCTGCCGGCAGATTTCTGCATTTTAAGTTAATTTAGGCGTCAATAAACTGTTTAAGAGGACTGATAATAGCGCTCTGATCATCAGCGCTGTGTCTCTCTCCCTGCCAGCTCCCAGATCAGCTTCTCTGATTGGTTGAGGCGGCGCGTCGAGCAGCAAAAATAAAATTTTTCCATCTCGAGCAGCAGCGCGTAACACGCGTCAGATGCTTAAACACGCCCGACGCGCTGCTTCAGCTGCTCAGACGCGCTTGCGCCTGCTGCTCAAAACGCGCCGCGGGACCTTTTGCTGCGCCTTGACGCGCGTCAACCATTGACTTTGCATGTAAACTCGCTGCTTCTGTCGCGCCTGCTGCGTTCGCCTGTCTGCTAAGCTCAAAACAACCGCGCCTGGCTTGACGGAGAAACCAGGAGAACAGCTGTGCATATTTACGACAGTGCACTTTTACTTTCGCCCTCTGGGGGGAGCCTCGCTGGAAAATCAACACCGGTTGCATAGTGTACCTTTAAATCAAAATTGAATTAATGAATCAAAAGTATTTATTAAAGTGTGTCATGCATTAGATCAGTGATTCCCAACTAGGGGTATGCTTACCCCTAGTGGTCTGCGAGTGCATTCCAAGGGGTACATGACAATATTTTATTTCTTAGTTAGTAAAATAAAATAGGGCGGGAACCCAAATAGAAAATAAAACAAACTTTTATCAACCAGAAAGTACTTTTTCTATTGAGTTCACCTACAGCTGTGGCACACATCCAAACCAGTCAGAGGAACAGACTGGAACAGTCTGGGATCAGCTGGTTTTCACACAGAGCTATCAGAGCTCATCATAGCAGCTCAGGTATTTTGGAAGACTATACTATTTGGCATTAAGGGAAATTGCAAGGTTCAAACAAAGAGATCAAATAAGGTATATATAATTGACTTTGTTATTATTATGGCCAAGTTCTTTATACATAAATGTAAATATAGAGGCTCCAAACCATGCATTACTGCTTTTAAGCACAAACTTAAACAATATATTGACACCATACAATTATCAGAAAATAAGAAAGCAATCAAAACTCGAGAAGCCTTTGTCCTTTTTAATATCATTTAGAGCGCTGTTTCCCCCTAGCGTTAGCTTTTGTTTAATAGACGTACGATCTTAATTTTTTTCTTTTTTCTTGTTTTTCTGTTTCTTGTTTTGCACAAAACGAGGTCCTTTACTTGACTGGTAGAAATGTGAATTTACACTTGTTGAAAACGTCTGTAAAAAATGGTTGTTGTGAATACCTATAGTGCAATAGAGTTGCTCTGTATTGTTCTTTGTAGAAACAAATAAAGTTGTATTAAAAAAAATAATAAAAAAAAGGTAAGGTGGCTGGATGAAAACAAAGTAAAACTAATATAGTAAGTCTGACTATAATTTTTGTTCCTACCTCATCAAGTTTAAATGTGATTATAGGGGAGTTAGTCAGAGGAGGTCCTGTTTTATAAATACAGGTTTATATGATGATTTTATGATTAAATTTAGGTGAGGAATCGGATCACCATCCGGATCCAGGGAATTCTTTGAAAGGTATGAACTTAAGTTGGATGTTGGGTGAAATGAGCTACTAGGCAGAGGTCTGAGCAGCAAAGTGATTTATCTGTAACAAAGCAGAAGGTTATCAATACATTTCTTTTTTTTACAGAATCAGGTCCAGTGAAGCTAAAACTATGAATTACAGCATATTTAAATTCAAAGAGAGTTTTTAATCTCAAATACAAAATGTGTATGTTTTTTTTACAGTTTTGCTTAAATTGTGATTCGATTCTGCAAACCCCAATTAGAGATTAGTCAATTATTATTATAATAATCGATAAATGATGACTCATCAACTTGACGATTTCAGCTGTACCTAACAGCAGGCCTCCTTGGTTTAATTAAGCTGATTTTATATTGAGATTTTCATACATTTGCCCAGAGTTTAACTGTTTTAATTTGGTCAACAAGGTTGCAATGCTTAACATGATGTATTTGTCCACAGAGGGAAACAACATATATATATATATATATATATTTATACCCTCAAATGATGTGTTTGGTTTTAGATCAATTATAGTCAGATCTATGGCAAGAGACCTGCTAGAGAACTGTTTAAGTACCTTTTCCGGTGACATGGTACGCTCCAATCTTATAGCAGCTCTCTGAGTGTCCATTTGTCTCACAGTTATGTTTGAGGACCTGTGCTGCAGAATCATAGTTTTTCTTTACACCCTCCAAATAGTCCGCTAGCCTCTGGCACCCTATGGAGAAGCATCAGAAAGGGAGAGACAGTCAATGGGTAGAATAACACTGAAAGCAAATAAATAATAAAACATATCTGAGATATTGATTGATTGACTTTATTGATCTCACAGTGGATAAATTTACTCTTTACATCAGCTCAAATAGTCAAAAAGAAGAAGAAGGTGTCCCAAAGGAAGAGAAGGTGCATGGGGCGTCTATATAGTATATACAGTGGGTCCACATATATAACATGACATAATTAAATAACATAACTAAAGAAATGTAACAAAATGCAATAACTTCAAGCAAAATACATTACCTAAAATAGTATTAGCAATTAAAACACATTTTAAATAATATAAAATAATAAATAAAATAAACTCAGAACTGTAAAAAGTTAATAGCCGCAATAAAAAAACTGAACTATATGAAGGGGAATAAATATAAAACATAACTGTAAAATAAGAAAAACATTACATAAGAAAAAATCCTCCATCCAACATTTTAAAATAACATAGAATAGTATAATTTAAATAGTAAATAAGAACCTAAGAATATAAAACAGGATAAAAGAGCTATTAGTTACCTTCAGGGTCCTTCTCCTTGTAGCACTGGAAGCTGTACTCTACCCCTAAATTATCCAGAAACTGTTTCACCTCATTTTCATCCTCAAAGTTAATAAGGCCCGCCATCTTTCTCAGGTCCGCCGCGCGCGCAGCACCAACGTGCTGAAGGCTGATCCGCTTGACCTTGCTCTACTGCGAGGTTTTTGAATGTCAACTAGTCCTCTTCTTCTTCTGGAAAACTCAGCGTGGTTCTGCTAGAGCTGAAGCCGCTCTGAGAGTTAGCTAACTCTAGCTAACCTTTAAAAACCGAGGAGCATTAGCTCTTTCATAACTATCCTCTGCGGGCTTCCGTAGAGCAGCCGTCAGGTTCTACTAATGTACTTCCTGTGTCGTGACCTTTGTTTACAGACCTCTCTCTCTTTTGCTTCAGCCAGATGAAAAAAAGAAAAAGGAAACAGACGTCACTGGCGGTGAAATCTTCACTAGTTCCCCATTTCGCAGGCTTAGTGTCGCTTATGTTGTCGGTTGGTATGAATCCCGCCTCGTCTGACTGTTCGGGCTGTTTTAGCAGCGCGCGAGCTTTTCCAGCTCCGATGCAACAACAAGTGAGCTAGCTAGCTAGCTAGCAGGTTGTTGGGTTTAGGCTCACCGTCCGCCTCAGGTTCCTGCCCCCTCAGGTGTATCTGAACAGGCAGGTGAAAGGGAAAGTGAAAGGCTCCGTCCATCTGGCTCTTTCTGACTCCGGTCGCTGTTGGATTCACAGACTAAACCATGGCTATGGCCTCTTTGTTTTTAAACGCGGTAAGTATGCAGTTTCTTTTTCCACCAATCTTTTTTGGGTTCGTTTATAAAATCTGATTATCAAAGCTCTTTTCCTCGTGTATCCAGGATGATGCCTCTCCAGCCTCGCTGACAGACCTGTGCCTCACCTATGTGAGCCAGAACCTGGAGTGTTTCTGCACCAAGCTGCCTGATGGCTCCCTGTGCTTCAGGGAGGCTGTGCTCTTCCCTCAGGAGCTGGCAGACCAGCTTCTGGCCAAGATGGCCACTGAAGGTAAACCTGATTTAAAAAAAACAACAACAACTAGTTTATGGTGACAGATGTATTATCATTAAACAGCCTATAAAGCCAACAGCTTCATTTCCCCATAGAGGTATTTACATTTCTAAAACTCATTGTCACTTGAAGTTAAAGGTGTTTTGTTCTTCTGAAAGGAGCACACTCTCCATCTTTGTATTCTTCTTTTGTTGTCGAGGTGGAAAAAGTGTTTCCATTAAGATTTTTTCTTTTCTCATATGTTATTGTTGAAATTACTGCATTATTATACTCATTTTTGCTTTGCTTTCTAAAGAAATAACACTTGAATATTTCTCATCCACCCACACAAATATGCCTAACAACATTCAAAATTATTAACCTCTTCAAAACTTGTAGTCAGATCAAGAGAAGGCGTTATTGACGTGATTACCCAGCATGCAATGCATACCAGGGCTATAGGGTTGTGTCTCTATCTAGGGCTATTCTACGGTGGCCCTGAATTGCAAACTGAAACTACAAATCTAAAAGCGCAACTACATAAAGCAAAGCGCAACTACATAAAGCAAAGCGCAACTACATAAAGCAAAGCGCAACTACATAAAGCAAAGCGCAACTACATAAAGCAAAGCGCAACTACATAAAGCAAAGCGCAACTACATTAAGAAAAACAAAACTACATAAAGCAAAGCGCAATGTAGTTGCGCTTTTAGATTTGTAGTTGCAGTTTGTACTTCAGGGCCACCGTACTATTCCCTATATAGAGCATAACATAGTGATTGCATTATTTTAAATGAGTGTCTGAACGTCTATTGGATGAAAAAGTAATGGACTTGAAATTTTCCACAATGCAACTTGAAAAGTAGTGATCAAGATGATCAAGATGGCGCAGGCACAGCATGCGGGGGGGCGAGACGCATGACCATTGGGGAGCGAGAAGTAGTGATCATCTGTCTGAACCGTCAGTTAACTCAGTTCACTATAAAGTCCACTATATATCCCCGCTCTGTATAGTGATTGAGGGATTTAGGGGTTATGGCGGACATCCAGACACAGTCTAGAACTCTAGAATCTATTCTTGAAATCTTTCAAAAGAATAAAATAACCTGCCTTGTTATCTACTTTCCAAGTGTAGAGACTGTATCTTCTTTATTCCGGTAAGTCTCTGAGATTGCAGGATTTGTTTTTCCTGCAGGTCTTCTGAATGACAGCACAGTGGGGGTGTTTAGGAACTGCGAGTATCTACGGTTGAGACGAGCCTGTATCCGTACAGCCCGGATCTCTGCCGAGGCCTTCCAGAAAGCTCTATGCCCGCACAGGCTGCTGGAGCTGGACGCCACCAGGGTCAACGCGGACCTCACCATCCCCGACATTCTGCATCGGCTGGCCACCAACAAATACTGTCAGGTGAAGTAATGGCCGACGTCACTCAGGCGGCTAAGTTCTCTCTTCTCACAATGTGAGGTTAATTTCCAGCTCCTTTTTATTTTTACCCTCCAGGAGTCTCTTCAGCGACTAGTCTTAACTGGACTCACCATGTGCTCACTGGTGGAGCAAAGTCGCTATCGTTTCAGCACCCTGCTGGGTCTGCGCTCCCTCTCTCTAGCTAACGTGGACTTCTACGACTCCGGGCTGGTGGATGTTTGCTCCCTGCCTCGGCTGGAGAGCCTGGATCTGTCCAATACCTCCGTCACCAACCTCAGCCCGCTGCTGGGCCTGAAGGAGCGGCTCCGCTCGCTGACACTACACCAGCTGAAGAGGCTGGAGATGAGCACGGCTCAGCTGCTGGGAGTCATCGGCCAACTGAATGTACTGCAGGTTAGTGCTAATCGCTGTGCTGCTGTTTAACTTAAGAGGAAGCCTCGTTACTTTTAGTGAGAGAACACCTGCTTGTGGTCAAAACGCAGCACCTGGACATAAGCGACGATAAGCAGTTTACCTCCGACGTGGCCCGTCAGCTGCTGGCACAGCGCGGGATCCTCCCAGCTCTCGTTTCCCTGGATGTGTCTGGGAGGAAGCAGGTGCGTGTCCATGACCGTTCCTCTGTCCCTAAACCCAAAAGGCCGGAGCCAACATATCTGTTTTCCTCCACGTGTCGCAGGTGACGGATGCGGCGGTCAGGGCGTTTGTTGAAGAGAGACCAGGGATGACCTTTGTCGGCCTTTTGGCCACGGATGCCGGCTTTTCCGACTTCCTCTCCGGAGAAGGAAACCTTAAGGTAGGAATAGAAACAAAATGGATCTACGATCCAACGAGGGGCAGAGATTCAACAGCTGAGCTCTTTTCTGCATGGAAACAGGTAACAGGAGAAGCTAACGAGACTCAGATCTGCGAGGCGTTGCGTCGCTACAGCGAGAGGGAGGGCTTCGTCAGAGAAGCTCTGTTTCATCTGTTCAGCCTAACTCATGTCATGGAGAAACCAAGGCCTGACATTCTAAAGGTAAGTCATAGGATGTTTATTTCATTATTATTTACCAAGAGTTTACGAAACACATTCCTTAACGGGAAAAGATAAAACTATTTGTCTAGTCATGAAATAAATCTGTATGCCTACTACAAGGGATGCACGATATAATCGGCCCCCTATCGTTATCGGCCTTAAAACTGAATATCGGACATCGGCCACCCCACCGATAGTTAACCCGATATTTGATCAGCTTCTGAGTTTCTAAAGTCTAAAAAAAAAAATAAAACTACTTCTTCTTCTTCCTCAAAAACTTTTACAGACTTAAAAACTTCTAAAGACGAGGGAAAAAATATTGATCCATTAAAATATCCCAATATCTTCATATGCT